CTACTGTGCTAGGGGCTGCGTTGTGCTCCTCCGCGCTGTGCCGCGCCGCACAATGACACGCGCCACGTAGTGCACTCGTGTAGCGTATTTGCGTAGTGTCTTGGCGTAGTGTATTTGCGTAACGTATTTGCGTGATGCATTTACGTACTGTGTTTCGCGTAGCCGACGGGCGTAGTGCTTCCACGTGGAATTAGCGCGTCGTTTTTCCACGTGTTGGTTTTGTGCCGTGATTTCAAATCTTGCGTTCCCGTGGTCGACCCGCAAAACCAGAAAGAGATAGAGAACTGCGAGGCCTGGGGACGCTTCCAACCACCTCAATTGGGCGATGGGCAGTGACAATTCTGGAGATATCAACGGTGATGCTACTGCGCCAGGGGCTGAGTTGTGTTTCTCGTTGCTCCCTGCCGCGCTGCACAATGACGTGCCAGGGGACGCGCCACGGAACGTGCCAGTGGCCGTATCAGGGGACGCGCCACGGGACTCGGCCACGCGATATGCTAAGGGGGATGCGGCACGGGACATGCCACGGAACGTGCCAGGGGAACGCGCCACGGGAAAGTCACTGCGGACGTGACAGAGGACGTGCCAGGGAACGTGCCAGGGAACGCGCCGCGCGACGTGCCCAGGGGAAGCGCCAGGGAACGTGCCAGGGATCGTGCCAGAGGGTCACGCTCCCTAGTGTTTGCGCGTAGTGACTCGTGTGTTTGCGTTGTGTTTTTGTTGCGCAGTGCTTCAGCGTAGTGTGGTAGCGTCGTGTGTAACCCACAGGCGCGGTGGCCCACTCAGCTCCGCGACAGAATCCCCGGCGCAACGAGGAGGCCGCGGAGGTACCGGGAGCGACCGGGTGACAACAGCAGGGAGGAGGGCGGGAGGGAGGGACGCAGCCCGGATCGAGCGCGAGCAATGAGGAACCCAGCCCGCGCGCTCGCCCGACCCAGCCCCCAGCGCCGCAGGAGCGCCACGCGTCGGCACGCTGCTCGAGTCGGGGAGACGTAAGACCCGGGTACGGGGGACTCGGAAATCCCCGACGAGGTCGTCAAAAAAATGACGAGGCCGAGCCTGCATTTTGACGAGGCCTCCCGCTGCAGACATCCCACGAAACTCCTACTCGTCAAAATCCGAGGCGCAGTCGTCAAAAAAAAATGGCGAACCCGAGTCCTGGCAAACCCGGGTCTTACGCTCCCCCGATCGAGACCACTGCGTAAAACCGTGCTCAGAAAAGACAAAGCGCGCAAACATGACGGTCGCCCGCGTCTCTCGTCAGAGCCGCCCCGTGTCCGCACGGACAGCGGGCCGCTGGAGCGCCGCAGGAGCGCCCCGGGCCAGGAGCGTGGGCGCGCCGCGGGAGCGCCCGGGGAGCTCCCTGGAATGTCTTTTAACATCGCTCCCCAAGCAGCGCTTGCACTGAAAGCGTCCTGGCGGGTGTTGAAAGGTTTGGCAAAAAGGCCTGGCCGATTTCGGTGGGCGGCCGGATTCCCGGGTTCCCGGTTCCGGGTTCCCCGGCTCCCGCTTGCTGGTTCCAGGCCGATGTCGGAGGGCGGCGGGGCTCCCGGGTTTCCAGGTTCCCGGGTGCCTGGCCGATGTCCTTATCGATCGATCTCACCATCGATCTCATCACCCACCTCTCTATCGATCTCATTATCGATCTCACAATCAATCTCACAATCGACCTGACTATCGATATCACGATCGATCTGAATGTAGATCGCACGAGCGATCCCACGATCAATCTCACAATCGATATCAGAGAAGCGACTTCACGATCGACTTCACGATCGGCCTGATTGTCGCTCTCACATTCGATCCCACTATCGATCACACTATCGATCTCACAATCGGTCACAATATCCAACTCACTCAACGTCAACCACTACACATATTGGGTAAGGTCTCTTTGGTGTTATGATGTTTGTGTAATGTAGCATTTGTTAGATAGTGTTTATAACGTAGTGTACTCGCGGAGTGTATTCGCGTAGCGCCTATTTCGCCCCTAAGTTTTGCAGCTCCTACCGGAAAGCCAAAGTATAGCATTAAGCCTTACCGTCCATCATAACCACCGGTCATCAATCACCCATCATCAGCATCACCATCATCGTCAGCAGCAACAACAGCAACACCATCTCCGCCCTCTTAACAAAAAACGCAATCATCACCATCCGCATCACCATCGTAAGCATCGCCATCGTGGTCGTCACACTCATCATCACCATCACCATCACCATCTGCATTAGCAACATCATCACATAACATTTAAAAACCGATCAAGGCATTTGACGACAAGCAATGCATACCAAGACATTGAAGGCAAACAAGACATACAACGACACATTGGGACATGTTATCGCGCCTGTGTCGTCCACGTTTCTACATGCAACGTAGAAACTAGGAGGGCGAGGGATGCGAGCCTCCCGTACCATCCTTGCTGGCTATTACGAATCGTCGCTAGTCGACGCTAACCGACGATCGTCGGCGCTAAGTCGACACTAATCGGCGCTAGACCGACGCGACTCGTCGATTCCAAGATACTAATCGACGCGAGAGCACTCTGAACACGGAATTACGAAGGTATAGAAGGCTCCCATGATTTGCTACCTCGTTTCGTTTCGTTCGAGGTGATGCTGAAGTCCTGCGCGCCTACGGTCGGGAACTTTTGCTTAGCATGTCGCCGCACAGGCCCCAGCGACACGCCATGCCCTGCAAGCGGATAGTGCGCCGTGCCACTCCGCGGGACGGGAGGCTCGGGAACGCTCATGGAAATTTGAAATTGACGCCTCGGGACCGCTGAGTGGATAGCGTGACGCGCCGAAGCGTGGTCGTCCAGAACCGGCGAAGCGACACGTCATCCAAAAGGTCGGGACCGTTCTAGTAGGAGATCGACTACAGAATTGATGTACCCTAAACTGGAAATGTTCGTTAGATCTACAAAGAAGTACCTGGGACGCTCGTGGATCCCCGAACATTCTACGTACTTGTTATTGCACATGCGACGAACAAATCAATATTGGGGTAATTCAATACTGTGGTCGATCTCCTTTTCGAACCGTAAGGCCGTGCTCACCACGGCACAGGTGCCGACGGCGCTTGAGCCCTGCCGACTGCGGAAGCGGTGCGGATCGCTGCGCCATCACCGCTCTGCTGCTGTCCGCCACCCTCCCTCCCGACTTCAACGTGGCAGCTGATAGCGACGGGATCACCCTTCCTCCTAAGCCGAAGACAGGACGAGGATAAATTCGGACGAAGATAAATCGGACATCTCGGAGACCTGGCGGATCTGGAGGATGTATCGCTCACCGCGGCCATCCCAGAGCGTTCTGGAACGCACAGAGAGCTTCTGGGAAAACTCTGACACGGATTTATCCTCGTCCTAGCCCCACCCAAACCTCCTCTTCCCTCTAAAGGGGGATACGGTCGGGAACTTGTGGATAGCGTGTCAACACGGCGACCCTGGCGAGACGCTGTGCCTTGCGAGTGGAGGGCGTGTCGCTCCGCTCCGTGGGGCGGGAGGCTGGGGAAAGCTCGGGACATTGACGCCTCGGGACCGCGACATGGGTAGCGTGTCGCGCCCCAGCGTGGTGGGCCAGAATTGGTGGCGCGACGTGCTATCAAAAGTTGCCGACCGCATGTGGACCCCTACCCATTCGAGATTTCGTGGGGCTTTCAGACGGAGTAAACAATTCAGCACCGCTCGGGGCTATACTGTACGTTGTGGGGCGCTCACCCTCGACAGGGGTGCGTCCAGATACCCCCCCCCCTGCGGGACTGTACCCCCGAGCGCCCCTCCTTTTCGGAGCGGCCTGGCCGGGGACTTGGGGGCGAGAAGTCGCCTGCGACTTGCAGGCGGCCGGGCGGTCTGAAGTGGTGGGGACCTCAGAACATCGGTCAGGAGGGGGGACGGCGCCAAATGCGCTCAAAATGAAGGGGAACTGGGACACACACAAATATATACACACAAACAAAAATACCCTCCATGTTTTCCCACATTTTCTGGGTTTCTGTCTCCCCCCCCACTTCCCAGATTTTCCCGTATTTTCTGGGAATCGCCGATTCAGTATGTCTGCATGATTTCCCCCTCCTGTCAAAATCTGCCCCAGGACCCCTCCCGGGGTCCCATGTCCCGGGCCCCGGGGCTCCTTTTCCGAGCGGCCTGACCGGGGACCTGGGGGCGAGAAGTCGCCTGCGACCTGCAGGCGGCCGGGGGGTCTGAAGTGGTGGGGCCCTCAGACACTCGGTCAGGGAGGGGGGACGACGCCAACTGCGCTCACAATCTGTCCCAGAACCCCTCCCGGGGTCCCATGTCCCGGGGCCCCGGGGCCCGATCACCGGCCCCCAAGGAGGCCGACGCGGGCAGACAACCCCCCCCGAACCCGGAGCCTCGAGCCTGCCCGCCTTCCCCGCTGGCCTGCACCAGCGCAGGGCCACCTCCTCCTCCTCCTCCTCCTCCTCCTCCTCCTCCTCCTCCTCCTCCCCCCCTCCTCCTCCTCCCTCCTCCTCCTCCTCCTCCTCCTCCTCCTCCTCCTCCTCCTCCTCCTCCTCCTCCCCCTCCTCCTCCTCCTCCTCCTCCTCCTCCTCCTCGGACCCTCAGACGGCTCCGGCCTGCGGCCCTCGTCTTCCCTCCTCCTCTCGGGGAGACGGAAGTCTCGGGCTCGGGAGACTCGGGCTGGTCGACGGGGCCAGCAGGAAAATGACGAAGACCCAGTCTAAATTCGACGCGAACTCTCGCTGCAAACACCCTACGGAGACTGGACCGCCAAGATCCAGGACGCGATCTCCCAAAACGCGTCGGCACACCCGAGTTCCGGCGCATGCCAGGATGAAGAGGAGGAGGAGGAGGAGGAGGAGGAGGAGGAGGAGGAGGAGGAGGAGGGGGAGGAGGGGGAGGAGGAGGAGGAGGAGGAGGAGGAGGAGGGGGAGGAGGAGGAGGAGGAGGAGGAGGAGGAGGAGGAGGAGGAGGAGGAGGAGGAGGAGGCTACCCCTGCGGGGCCCCGCCCGTCCCCTGCTGCCGGAGGCCGCCGCGCCGCACGCGGGCGAAGAGCGAGAGGGCCTGCCCCCCGCGCGGCCCCCCGGCGTCCCCGAGGAGGCGAGTGGGGCTGTGCTCACGCGCGCGGACACAGGCGCACAGACGGACACGGCGCTGTCTTACTTAGATATGCCGTCGTCGCCGAACTCGGTCCTCCTGCTCCTCCCTCTCCTCTCTCCCTCTCTCTCTTTCTCTGATTGCTTTTTGTTGTTTCTCTCTCTATCTCTCTCTTTCCCTACCTCTCTTTCTCTATCGTCCTCCCTATCCCTCTCTCATGTATGTATTTGCATATGAATACATCTATGAATACTCAGGGTACCGTGCGTATGCCGCGAACGGCACTGGTTCGCTACATGAGCCGAGGAGAAACGGTCTCCGAGTGTGAAGCCGTCCTCTGCCCGCGGAGACCCCAGGCTCGAGGATCGAGATTTTAGAATCATGCTTCGGTGTTGTGGGGCCTCCAGGGGACCTCTGTGGCTCAAGCCTTGCGTGGCGCAGAACGCCCAGCAAAGCCAGGCCACTCCTTGGCTGCAACGTCCAGAGGAGCCGCACCACAGTGCAGTTGAAGACATCTCTTCTCGCATTCTTGGCGGCGCGAACAAGTGGGTAGGGGGACGGGGGAAGGCTTCTTGCAAGGAGGCTGCTTCTTAGCAGGCGCCAGCCTTGCACCTATAGATAAGGGCCTTCACGATCGCTCGGTGTGGCATTTGTGGAGGTGCACCACTTAAATTGCTCATTGTGAAGGCGCCGGATTTCAGATTCCCTGCGTGGCCTGTCGCGGGCGGCTGTTGTGAAGCTACTTAACGCCTTTGGTGGGTGGATTGTGGCTCGGCAGTAAGGTTCGGGTGGATCCTGTCTCACCATTCGCCCAGCCGCTGGTTTCCCAGCGGTGTCAGGAGATATTACTCGTATGCTCGGGTCGGCCTGCGCTCTTCACTGTAAAGCTCTGCGCGTGGTGGATTTGAGCCAGCAGGTACACTTTGCGTTCAAAGGTACGCTATACCATTCAACTTGGTTGTCCATTTTTCTCGTCGCACATTGTGCTGTGGCGTATGTCTTCCTCCTTGTTCGGCAGTCGTCGGGCGCATGTTCTCACAGCATTCAGTTGGTATGGTTTGGTGTGACAGTCAGCGTTGTGTCGCGAGGGACCAGAGTAGCTTTCAGCTCACAATAAGGGTGAAGTTCACAACCTTGTCAGCGTTGCCAAGCTGTATATCTCGGACCAGAGTGCGCAATGGGTTTGTCACAGCTTCGATTGACATCGCAACACACAATATGTATGGGTGAGATCCTCAGTTTGCCATTGCGTGTAGTTCATAAGGTACATTGCTGTGGGGCATCCTCGTCTCGTCCGTCTTCTGAGCTGGGCGGGAGGCTTAATCGAATCGAGTACTGGCATCTCCACTGGTTCCTACTCCTACTCCTACTCCTACCCCTTCTGCGCGTGTCTGACACTCACCTAATGCTCGAGGATCGAAATCTGCGGATCGTTGTTTTGTTCGTTTGGGGGCCCTCCAATGGGGGCCCCTCCTGGCCGCGGCTGGGATCCGCCTCGAACTTCTCGAATCAGAATTGCACCCCAGGAAGAGGTCCAGGGCTCGGTGGACGACTAGAACGACCCATATCTCCGACGAGGTGCGTTCACGCAGTGAAAACATCACATCGTCGATCGACGTCTGGGACGGGACTGGAGCCATTCCAGAAGCTTGGCGTGAATCGGGGATCGGGTCGTCCTCGATACTCACGGCAAGCTTGGCAGCCGCACATCTATACACCAAACCATGGCGGGCCTTCGCCCGAAAACATGGTGTGCGCATGTTGTTGAACGCCTCGTGCTCGTGACCCCGAATCATGTCCACTAAACCGTGCGCGGCGGTAGTTGCGAACACAGCTTCATGGTGATGCTCCTATCCCCGGCGAACGCGTCTTGGGCTACCCCGCGCGCAGCTTCCCCGACAGCCCGATCACCATCTGGCCCTGCGGGGTCCACGATTCGGCGCCTCGAGCTCGACGCGCGCCCCCCTTGGCGACGCCAGGCCCCAGCCGAGGGCTCCTGGGGCTCGCTTGGCACCTCGGGCCTCCTGTGGAGGGAGGAGGGGCGGGAGCGAGGCGAGGGGGAGCGACAGCGGCAGAGGGCGTCGGAGGGGGGGGGGGAGCGACAAGATACCGACACCGCTGCTCCAGTGGCCTCTCCTGGCGCGTTCTGACACGGGCCTTGGGGCAAGCGCAGCCGTGGCCACGAGGGACGGGCAGCGGTGACGGTGTCTCTTTCTCCTCCGGGTCGGACTTGCAACGGGAGCACGCCATGGAGTGCTGAGTGGATTTGCTCCACCCCCACCGGGCCACAATCGCATCAATAAATGTGGCTGTTGCTTCGAAGCCCGGAAGTTGACTAGGAGAAATAAGAAAAATCGCCAGCTGCGCATGCCAATCTATTAACAAGCGGTTGCGACGCCATGCCAACAACCCCTTGTTGTTTCTCCGGGAAGCCACATGGCACACCGAAAACGCTGGCCAATGCGAAAGAGAAGTTATTGTGCCATCGCCGCGGGTGTGGGGTATAGATCTGCCACCATGCCCCCCTGTCGGCGACTCCGAAGGGTGCGGTTTGCAAACGGATGGGGTTGCAAACGGCACCCTGGGTGGCACCCTGGGGGGCGGGCGAGGACCTCGACAGAGCTCTCTGCCGCGACCCGAGGACGCCCGACGAGGACAGTGTCGTGCCCCGAAAGCCCCAACAGTGCCAATCGCAACCTCACCCCGGCGTAACCATACCCTTCGTAATCGCCGACCCTATCATGTTAACACGTAATTATTCACTGCGTGGAGCTCCCCCTCTGTGAATCTATCAGCATGGACCTGTCTGCCGTGAGTGTCTAGGCGCAAGAGTTTTCGAATATGAGCGGGCTTGAGTATTGACGGTCTGGGAGCGATTCTAACTGTGAATGAGTTGGAGCGCGAATGAGTCTCAATCGTACGAGCGCGTCTCTGCGCATGAGCCTGGGGCCTCCTTGGGCATCCTGAAACCTCCTGGGGCTTCCTGGGGCCTTCTTGACCCTCTTAACGCATCCTGTGGCCTCTTGGGGCTTCCTGTGGCATCCTGAGGCCTCCTGGGGCCTCCTGGAACCTCCTGGGCCTCCTGGGGAGGATTCGTGTCCCATGAGAGGCCCAACATAAGAACAGAGGTTATGTAACACTGCGGATGGGAGACGCAGGAGAAGGGCATTCTATAGGAACACACGTCAACACACAAAGTACTAGTGCCCCAGGGGAGGCTTAATCTATAGGAGCATACGTCAAACAATTAGGATTGGATGCGCAAGGGAAGGACAATCTACAATAACAGCCGTAAAACACGAAGGATTGGAACTCCAGGGGAGGCACAAACTATAGGAGCATACTTACAACACATACGATTGGAACCACACCTATAACCTTCTGAAGCCTCCTGCTCCTGGGGCCACTTGGGGCCTCCTGGTGCCTTCCGGGCCCTTCCTGGTGCCTCCTGGTTAATAGATGCACATATGGGGAGCCCCTGATTCCGGAGGGCACACTGGTAAGGCGCTCGGAGAGGAGCACTGGCAGGGGGGATCGGCGAGGAGCATTGGGAGGGAGGTTCGGACAGGAGCACTGGGAGGGAGGGCTGGAGAGGAGCACTGGGAGGGAGGGCCGGACAGGAGCACCGGGAGGGAGATGGTTGACCATGCGGAACCTGTCCGCCGTGAGTCTAGGCGCAAGAGTTTTCGAATACGAGCGGGCTTGAGCGGGCTTGAATATTGACGGTCTGGGAGCGAATCTAACTGCGAATGAGTTGGAGCGCGAATGAGTCTCAATCGTACGAGCGCGTCTCTGCGCATGAGCCTGGGGCCTCCTGGGGCCTCCTGGGGCCTCCTGGGGCCTCGTGTGGCCTCCTTGGGCCTCCTGGAGCCTCCTGGGGCGTCCCAGAAGGTACGTTCGGGAACACGACCCAAAGGAGCAGGACGCCTCGGCTCCTTCCTCCGTGCGTCCCAGAGGGTACGCGCCGGAGCACGACCCAAGGGAGCAGCACGGATCCTCCCACATCTCCTTCCTGCGTGCGTCCAAAAGGGTACGTGCAAGAGCACGACGACCCAAGGGAGCAGCACGCTTCATTTCCTTCCCCCGTCCGTCCCAGAGGGTACGTGCCGAAGCACGACCCAAGGGAGCAGCATGCCTCATCTCCTTCCTCCGTGCGCCCCTCCGAGCGCCTGACCGGAGACATCCTCCGATTCTGCTCTGAATCAAATTGAGTCAGGCTACCAGCACAAGCAAACCGCTCAAGACATCCTCGCAATCGAAGCCACATGGAGTGCGAAAGCCAGCGCCTCGCCCGAGGCATCCTCAGAATCTGACCTGAACGCGCACGAGTCTGGCCAACAAGACAAGCAAACCGCTCGAGACATTCTCACAATCTGCGCCCCCCAGGGGCATCATCACCATCATCATGACCAGCATCACCACAACTAACATCATATGCAAACGTAACGCATTATAACACACCACCGCAACACATAGCATTGCACACTATAACATAATGTGGCATACCATTTAATGCTACCTCATAACGTACATACCAGAACTTACCACGGCATACGATCTTTTAGCATTCCATTAAATGCCATTTCATAACATGCATATTTCACATCATGCCATACTATAACATACTATAACGTGAGAAAGAAGAGGGAGGAGTGCGTGTGAGGAAATTGGTGAAGTCGGACGCAATAACACGAAACCCATCCTTTGGATAGAAGGAATCACAAGAGCACCTGGGGCATCCTGGACACTCTTGGGGACTGGAGCCTCCTGGAGCCTCCTGGGGCCTCCTGGGGCCTCCTGTGGCATCCTGATACCCCTTGGTACATCCTGTGGCCTCCTGGAGCCTCCTGGAGCCTGCTGGAGCCTCCTGTGGCATCCTGAAGAAGATCCATGCCCACGAGTCTGGCCAGCAAAATAAGCAAACCGCTCGAAACATCCTCGAAGTCTAGCCCCCTGTTGGGGGCGAAAATCCGCGCCTCGCTCGAGAGATCCTCCAAATCTGCTCCGAAGGCGGAGGGCATACATACAGCACATGGGATTGAAGCCACCCCTGTGGCCTTCTGAAGCCTCTTGCTCCTGGGGCCTCTTGGGGCCTCCAGGTGCCTTCTGGGGCCTTCCTGGTACCTCCTGGCTGATAGATGCACATCTGGGGAGCCCATGATCCTGGGGGGCACACTGGGAAGAAGTTCGGAGAGGAGCACTTGGAGGGAGGGCTGGAGAGGAGTATTGGGAAGGAGGTCCGGAGAGGAGCACTGGGAGGAAGGGCCGGAGAAGAGCACCGGGAGGGAGATCGTTGGCAATGCGAGACCTGTCCGCCGTGAGCGCCTAGGCGCAAGAGTTTTCGAATAGTCAGGGGCTTCAGTATTGACGGTCTGGGAGCGAATCTAACTGTGAACGAGTTAGAGCAGAAATGAGTCTCAATAGTACTAGTGCGTCTCTGCGCATGAGCCTGAGGCCTCCTGGGGCCTCTTGAAACCTCCTGGGGCTTCCTGGGGCCTCCTGGAGCCTCTTGGGGCCCACCTGTGGCCTCGTGTGGCCTCCTGAGGCCTCCTGGGGCCTCCTGGGGCCTCTTATGGCCTCCTATGGCCTCCTGGTGCCTCCTGGAACCTCCTGGGACGTCCCAGAGGGTACGTGCCGGAGCACGACCCAAGGGAGCAGCACGCATCCTCCCTCATTTCTTTCCTCCGTGCGTCCCAGGGGGTACGCGCCGGGGGCAGCACGCTTCATCTCCTTCCCCCGTGCGTCCCAGAGGGTAAGTGCCGGAGCACGCCCCAAGGGAGCAGCACGCCTCATCTCCTTCCTCCGTGCGTCCCACCTAGCGCCTCACCAAAGACATCATCCAATTCTGCTCTGAATCAAGCGAGTATGGCCACCAAAACAAGCAAACCGCTCAAGACATCCTCGCAATCGAAGCCCCCTGGAGTGTGAAAGACAGCGCCTCGCCCGAGACATCCTCATAATCTGCTCTGAACGCAAAAGAGTCTGGCCAACAAAGCAAGCAAACCGCTCGAGACATCCTCACAATCTGCACCCCCCCAGGGACATCATCACCATCATCATCATCATCATCATCATCATCATCATCATCATCATCATCATCATCATCATGGTCATCATCAGCAGCAGCAGCATCATCATCACCAACATCACCATAACGAACATAACAAGACAAAGCGTACTACAGCACACCATACCATCGCATAACATAACACCGCCTAACAATCATATCATACCATAACATCTCATGCCACGTAATATCATAACGTGGCATAGCATGTCGTACGATAACGTACCATAACATATCACATCATAGCATACCACAACATACCATGACATACAATAGCGCAGCATACCATACCATAACATAACATGAAAAAAAGGGAAGAGGGAGGGGTGTGTGTGTGTGTGAGGAAAGTGGCGAGGTCGGAGCAATAACACGAAACTAATATTTTGGATCTATTGAAAAAAAATTGGGCCTCCTGGACCCTCTTGGGGCCTCCTGGACCCTCTTGGGGCCTCTTGTGGCCTCCTGTGGCATCCTGATTCATCCTGGTACCTCCTGTGGCCTCCTGGTGCATGCTGAAGCCTCCTGTGGCTCCGGAGAAGGATCCGTGCCCACGAGTCTGGCCGTCAAAATAAGCAAACCGCTCGAGGCATCCTCAAGATCTGCTTTGCTTTGGGGGCGAACATTCGCGCCTCGCTCGAGACATTCTCCAAGTATGCTCCGAAAGCGGAGAATGTTGAGTCGCGAACCAGGCAAGCCGCTCGAGACATCCCCGCAATTTTGGCGCGAACGGAGGAGTGAGGGACCCCTTGGCGGCTCCCCCTTGGGGGTGCTGAAACACGCGCCTCGCTCGAGACATCCTCAGAATTTGCTCCGCCATCATCATCATCATCATCATCATCATCATCATCATCATCATCATCATCAACATCATCATCATCATCATCATCATCATCATCATCATCATCATCATCATCATCATCATCATCGTCATCATTATCGCCATCATAATCATCATCATAATCAGCAGCAGCAGCATCAGCATCAGCATCACCACCACCACCACCACCATCATCAGCATCAGCATCATCATCAGCAACAACATTATCATCACCGCAGCAGATCATACCATACCGTGGCATAACATGACATGCCATACCACACCCGAGCATATCATGATATAAGAGGCATACCATGGCATACCATCCCATAACATGACATAACCCAACACAGCACAGCAACACATAACATAACATGAGAAGGAGGATGTGAGCTCGGAGCGGTCTGAGTAATAACAAGAGCCCATCCTTTGGATATTGGGAATAAAATGCCAAATGCTGTCTGGTAGGGCTTCCGTCATCGTCCAAGGCCACCCTCTCTAGAAGCGGACGTCTGCACGCATCGCCCACCCCTTACCCGAGGCTTCCAACAGGGCCGAGATGGCTTCCAAGACGGCTCAAGCAGGCCACTAAGGCCACACAGATGGCCCAATATGGCCCCAAAATGGACCCGAGACGGCCCACGAAGGTTCAGGGATAAACTCCAGCAAATCATTGAAATGCACTTTTGCGTTTTCGAAGAATCTTCTGATTCTCGGCTTTTCGAGCTTCCATCGGCTTAAGACAGCCCGAGAGGCCTCCCAGATGGCTCCATGACGGCCCAAAAGGGCATCAAGTAGTGCAAGAGGCGTCCAAGACGGCCTCAAGACAGCCAACGAGGGTCCCTGGACAGCACAGGACGGACCCAAGAGGGGCTCAAACTAGTCCAACAGATCCTCCGGAGGAATCCAAGAAGGCCTGAGAGGTCCCTGGACGGCCCAAGACGGCCCGAAAGACCTCCCAAACGGCCAAGAAGGCCCTTAAAGAGCTCCAAGATGGGCCACGAGGGCCCCAAGGCGGCCCCAAGGGACCCCAAGACTGCCCCATTGGACCCCAGGACAGCCCCAAGACGACCCAACTGAGGTCCATGAGGGCTCCTCGAGAAACTAAATGGAAAGATGTCACATGTGACGAGTCTCTTCTTCTTCTTCTTCCTCCTCCTCCTCCTCCTCGTCCTCGTCCTTCTCCTGCTCCTCCACCTCCTCCTCCTCCTCCTCATCGTCATCATCACCACCCCTCCCGATCTTACCCTTCCCCCTTCTCCTCTCCGGATCATCCTTTTCATCCTCGCATCAACAGCATCATCATCAGCAGCATCATCATCAGCACCAGCATCATCAGCATCGTCATGTCGTCATCATCATATTCATAGTCATCATCATCATCACCATCATCATCAGCATCATCATCATCATCATCATCATCATCATCATCATCATAATGATCATCACTATCATCATCGTCATCGGCACCATCATCGTAGTCGTCGTTGTCGGCGTCGTCGTCCTCATCGATTCGAGCAAATGCCACCGAACATGCTAGGCTGAAACGGTGGCGAGACTTTCTGCGGACAGCTGGATATGCCACCAACGTCGTCAGATTCGATACCCCACCCCCAAAAATACTCCACCCAAGTTCAAGAGGCTCGACGTGGGCTCCGTCTCCCCAAGGGCGTAGACGCACTTCATCCTTTCATATACTCGCACATTCAGGGATCCCACCAACGACGTCGTCTCGGGGATGCTTGCACGTCCCACTTCGCTGTCATACAACAGCGACGTGGGACGTGCACGCGAGAATCAATGAATTCCCCCGGGGAGAAAGTAAATCATGCTTGCAACACGTGCACAAACAGAACGCACATCCAAAAGAAAAACAAGCCAGGGTGTGGACCTCTTGAATCTGACCCTGATCTACGTCGTACCGCGCAGCACGCGCAACAGAAGGACATGCAATGTGAGTACGACGGGAGTGGCACGAGCATTGCGGACCACCCAAACATTGCAAACGCCATCATCATCGCCCGTGCCCCGCCCTGCCTGCGACCACTCGCCGCAATTCTCGCAAGCGCTTATGGTAGAGTTGTACGTGACCAGGTCTGGCCTGTCACGGTGGCACTCAAGGGGGAAGCTGGCTGTGGTACGCGGGCGCGTGCCTTGCTGCACCATGCTGGCAGTCATGACCTGCTGGAACGCCCCTCGCCACCGTGAACAGCCTCGAACGCAACTCAACTCCCGCTTCCGTCTGATGCGCTTCATTCCTGATACTCCCCCAAGCCGACACGATCTGGAACCCGACACACACAAGGCATCTGAATAACGCTATTCCATTGGATCGAGCCCTGAGTTTGGGACGAAACCTCGAACAGGCCCCGAAGACGTCTCCGCTAAATCTTACCGCAATGAATGTTTGACCCCTTTGGGGCGCTTGGATGGCGGAAGCGCAGCCTTTGAAGAATTCACGGTCGGAAAGCTGGCGGACGCAAAGACGGACGAGGCCGAGGGCCAGTGGACCACTTTTCCTCAGGGCGATCCTCCCGTTGCAAATAGATGGACCAACAGATTGATAAGCCGGCGATCTAAGCGTCTCAAACATAGGTGGCGGACGCGAAAAGTGCGAAAAGTAGAAAAGCGCGAAAAGTGCGAAAAGTGTCGAAAAGTGTGAAAAGTAGAAAAGTAGAAAAGCGCGAAAAGCGCGAAAAGTGCGACAAGTGCGAAAAGTAGAAAAGTAGAAAATTGCGAACATGCGAAACAAAAAACGACAAGCGCGAAAAGTAGAAAAGTGTGAAAAGTAGAAGAGCGCGAAAAGTGCGAACGTGCGAAAAGTAGAAAAGGGCGAAACATAGAAAAACAGAAAAATGCGAAAATATACAAAAAGTGTGAAAAGGACGAAAGAAAGGTGCGAGAAGTACGAAGCAACACAGTGCAACAAGTTGAGAAACGCTAGTAGGTACGAAAAACAAGAAAGTCGAACCCTGATAAAACGGGGAACGTGCGTTTGAAATTTGCGATAAGAACGAAAGGCAGCAAAGCGGGACTTGCGCGATAAGAGCGAACTTGGAATGAGAAACGCTTTGGGCAGGAACCGCATTTTTAAAAGCGCGCAGCGCGAGAAGCAGGACAAGTTCGAATCGCGCGAATGGTTCAACACATTCTAAAAGAAAAACAAAGGAGCGGCAGGAGGGGCAGGAAGATGAGGCGTGGCCGTGTTCCACATGTGTTTTTCCTGCGTTTCGCTTGTCCTCGCATGGAGCACGCTTGTTTTTCTTGTCTTCGTTTTGTTCTACATGTTTCGCAATAGTTGCCGAGCGCGTTCAAAAACCTTGATTCTCGATCCTCGAACCTCGATCTTCCAAGTGGTTTTCGGACCGTGCGTAACTCGGGCCTCCAGCGGAAGTTTGGGATGACATTGGGCGCCCCCGAAACCTCTGTGCCCAGCGTGTGCAGCGCGAGAAGGAGGACCAGTTCGAAACGCGCGAATGGTTCAACATATTCTGGAAGAAACACTAGAGAGCGGCAGGAGGGGCAGGATGATGAGGCGTGGCCGTGTTCCACTTGCGTGTTTCCTGCGTTTCGCTTGTCCTCGCATGGAGCACGGTTGTTTTCCTTGTTCTTGCTTTTTCTAAGTTTTTCGCAATCGTTGCCGAGCGCGTTCAACAACCTCGATCCTCGATCCTCGAACCTCGATCTTCCCAGTGGTTTTCGGGCCGTGCGTAACTCGGGCTTCCGGCGAGAGTTCGGGATGATTTGGGCGCCCCCGAAATCTTTCGATGAGACGCAGCTGCTGGAAAGCATCCGCCCCGCATGCGACGCGGCAGGCAGCGCGCGTTGTGAAGCGTACTTCGTTTCGGGTGTCTCTTGGCATCGGCTGCGTGCTCCATTTTCTCCCCCAGTTCCCCTATCAGCTCCTTCCTGCCGCCTCCCCGCTCCCCCTCGTTTCTCCCCCTCCTCTCCTTTCTACCCTTTCCCGCTTCCTTCCACTTTGCTCCTATCCCCATTCGCCGCATGCCCCCGCAAACCTCCGCACTCCTCCCGCGCCTCCCCACTCTATTCCAATCCCCTTCTCCCCTCCGCGCTCCTCCCCACTGTTGCCCACTCCTCCCCGCTCCTCTCCTTTCGTCTCCGTGCTCCCAACTTCAATCCGCTCCGTCCCACTATTTCACTTTCCTTTCCATCTCCCCCCGCTCCTTTCAACTCCTCCCCACTCGTTCCCTTTCGTTCGCATCATTCCGCTCCATTGTACTTCTCGTCACTCCTTCGCGCTCCTCCCATTTCGCCGCCCCCCGCGTTCCTCCCAACTCCTTCCCGTTCATTCCCATCCCGGTCAATTCCACTACCCCCCGCTCCTTGGTCCTCTGGGGGCCCTCTTGAGGCTCTTTGGAGGGGTCCAGGGAGCCCTCTTGGTGCTCTTAGAGGAGCTCTGGGAGCGCCTCTTGGGGCAATCTTGGGCCCCACTGTTCAAAAACAGGTCGGCGGCTGCAATTCAGGCCCCCGCCCCTCGGAGGCTCAACAAAAAGCGTCTTGGGGCCCTCTTGCGGCGCTCTTGGAACGCTCCTGGGCGCTCTCGGAGCCGTCTTGGGGCCCTCTTGGGGCCAACTTGAGGCCTCAAGAGCCCATCGGAAGCGAAAAGGCGAGAAGGCAACACACATATGTTTTCTGTTGTTTTTTGACAGGTTTGGGCCTCTTAGGGGGGGATCCTTGGAGAGCTCGGAGAGCACTAGGAACCGTCTTGGGGCCGTTTTGGAGCCTCTGGAGACATTTCGGAGACTATCTTGGGCCATCTTGAAGTATATTGAGCCATCTTAGAGGCCATCTTGGCCTTTCCGAGGCCCTCTTGGAGCCATCTTGGGCCAAAAAGAACGCTCTGACACCTCGCGCGGGAGCCAGTCCAGACCCATGGAGGAGGGGGGGTAAAACCTCCTGAGCAGGGGGGGGAAGGAGGTTGGAAAAGGAAACGCCCTAGACCACCTGCGCCCTAAAGGGCTTGTGGGATATACTTCCGCTTTGGATGCGTTTCTGGTCTTCATGTGTTTCGCCCGGCTATTGCGCGCGTCACGTGTTCTCGGTATTCTGTGGTTCGCGTTTCTCGCGCTCGCGTGTGTTTTACATGTGTTCCGCTGTTCGTGTTTCTCCTATTCGTTTCCGCGCGTTGCGGCTCCCATGTCAGGAAAACAAAAGAGGAGGAAGGATAACGGGGTATTCCGTGACATGTATAGCCCGGCTTTCCTCTCTCCGGATTCTATTGGTTTTGCAATGTTAGCAGGATTGTCTGCCAAGTTTCTCATTGCTGAATTTCTCACAAAGAATTGACTTCTCAACGTTCCGTAGGCTTCCGCGTCTCGGTCTTCCGATTTGTCGTGTTACTGTGTCCTCGTAGTTTCACATTTGTTTCGCTATTCTCGCTTTTCTCCACCGACGGCGCCTTGTTGTCTAAACTTGTCGCGTTTGTTGCGCGTTTCGTGTTTGTTGTTGCACTTTTCGCGCGCCATTCGAACACTTCGTGCTCTTCGGCCTCTTGTGCGCATCGCTGATCCATTTTCGCTCATCTCTCGCTTTTCGCACTTTCGCATTTTTTTACTTTTCGAGTGCGTTTCAAATGTTTCGCGCAACGTTTCGCACTTTTCGCACTTTTCTACTTTTCGCGCTTTTCGCACTTTTCGCACTTTTCGCACTTTTCTACTTTTCGCACTTTTCGCGCTTTTCGCGTTTTTCCACTTTCCGCGCTTTTCGCGCTTTTCTACTTTTAGGGGCGGCCACCAGATATCAAGATCCGGACCTAAGGAGCACAGAAAGATTGGGCAGTGGGCCGCGGTTGTCAGATCTCCAAGGAATAAACATAAGAAAAACTACTGCTGCTAATGAGATCGTCGAGGAAAAAGCTCTTCAGGTGCGCACCGGGCACCTCTGGGGCTGTTCACTAGCGGCGTGCTCACGTATTCGTGAGACCCTCCCTCAGCAGACCTCGAATGGTCAACATTGCTAGCCACATTGATGAAAATATTTATATGCCTAATATCAGCGTCAATGTGTCCACACACTCCAACTCGACCTCGCTGGAAAACGGTTCCGTCGTGAGAAATAGATTTTAACCCGTAATGTTGCACTCTGCTTGCGTTCCAGAAGTATGTCATTTTCAAAACGCACGCCTCCAACGTTGTATACGTAGGAAGTCTGATGAACCGTCAGCAGCGACTCTTCGTTGAGATGCTTTTCAAGACCGCGTGGAACAACAGTCGCAGTTGTGCCAAGGCACACCTGGATAGGCAAAGACATGTGTCGTGCACTCCACTGGCACAGCCCTTCAGAACAAGAAGCACGTATGTGTGCTCAAAGTGTGGTGCGCGCGCGAGTGCGTGCGTGCGTGCGTGCGTGCGTGCGTGCGTGCGTGCGTGCGTGCGTGCGTGCGTGCGTGCGTGCGTGCGTGCGTGCGTGCGTGCGTGCGTGCGTGCGTGCGTGCGTGCGTGCGTGCGTGCGTGCGTGCGTGCGTGCGTGCGTGCGTGCGTGCGTGCGTGCGTGCGTGCGTGCGTGCGTGCGTGCGTGCGTGCGTGCGTGCGTGCGTGCGTGCGTGCGTGCGTGCGTGCGTGCGTGCGTGCGTGCGTGTGTGTGTGTGTGTGTGTGTGTGTGTGTGTGTGTGTGTGTGTGTGTGTGTGTGTGTGTGTGTGTGTGTGTGTGTGTGTGTGTGTGTGTGTGTGTGTGTGTGTGTGTGCGTGCGTGCGTGCGTGCGTGCGTGCGTGCGTGCGTGCGTGCGTGCGTGCGTGCGTGCGTGCGTGCGTGCGTGCGTGCGTGCGTGTGTGTGTGTGTGCGTGTGTGTGTGTGTGCGTGTGTGTGTGTGTGTGTGCGTGCGTGTGATTGTGGGTTTGTGCATGGTTTTGCACGCGCGCCGACGAACAATGTGGTGCCATTAATGCTTGTTGAGTCCTTTGCCGCGCTTTGGCCAAAGGCCCGCTACCCGTGCCACCGCAGTTGCAACAACAACTCTTTGTAACTGGCAGCAGCCGAGTCGCCCCAAAGCGTTCCGATTCCGAACGAATGCTGCCAGGCGAAGGTCGCCTATGCAACGAAAAGCGCAAATGGGCTACACCCATGTCAGATCTTGAGCGAAACATGCTCCACAAACATTCCGCGGGATGCGCGCCCACGTCTGCGTGTCACCTGCTCGCAGAAGGCCAGCGAGAAGAAGCCATGCGTCTGGAATTTTGTTGACGACAGGCTGTGACATGTGAGGGTACAAGTCAAACTGCGAGTGCCCGGTTGTCCAGGCGAGGCAGATTATACAAGGCACGTGCGGTGGTACAGAACCCCAATGTTGGTGTGTATATATATATAGGCATTGTAAAGTGGCTGGTGATGCAGTGCCCTTCTAGGCAACGCAAGCCACAACAGAGCACCTTAGAATGTCTGCCCTGGAAGAGGAGGAACGTTTGGTCAGCAGCGACGGCGGACGCCAACGCGTTCAAAAAGCTGGCGGGCTGCGTTGGAACTAGGACGCGCGAGGCAATTTGGGAAAAGAGGATGGCGGCTGCGGGGGAAGAACGGTCGGCGGCCTGCCGGGGGGGGAGGGGAAAGGGGGCGGGCCTTGTCAGAAGGTTTGGAGGTCGCCTGGCCTTCTGAAAAGAATTCTAAGCCTTCCGCGAAGACGCAGAAAACTTCGGGAGTAGGAAATCTTCGCCAGGCCCCCCCCCATCCCTAAAGCCGGGAGGGGGTCACTACCAGTTCGAGCGCCCCGTCCAAAACCCGGGGGGGGGGTCACTGCCGGTTCGAACCCCCCCCTCCCCCTCGCCGCCGGCAAACGATTCCCGTTCCTCGGATCAATGGGACAGCGGAAAACCGCGGGGGGGGGCCACTACAGGTTCGACCCCCCCCCCTCCGGAAAACCAGGGGGGGTCACTACCGGTTCGAACCCCCCCAAAAAAAAACAAACCTGGGGGTCACTACCGGTTCGACGAACCCCCGCCCCTCCAGAAAACTGGGGGGGGCCTCTGCCGGTTCGGACCTCCCCCCCGCCGCCGGCAAACAACTCCAGAATCCCCACCACCGTCCGCACCACATCCCCCACCGGTGTCCCCAGCACCACCGTCCACACCACCACCGTCCTCACTTTTCCCACCACCGTCCCCACTGTCCCCACCAGCGTCCCCACCACTGCCGCACTGTCCCCACTGTCCCCACCACTGTTCCCACCACGGTCCCACTCTCCCCACTTTCCCCACGGTCCCCACCACTGTCCCACTGTACCCCCGTCCCACTGTCCCACCACCGTCCTCACGACCGCCCTCACCACTGTCCCCACCACCACCGTCCCCACCACTGTCCCAGTCCCCACTGTCCCCGCCGCTGTCCCACTGTCCCCACACCACTGTCCCCACCAGCACCATCCCTACCACTGTCCCAGTGTCCCCACTGTTCCCACCATTGTCCCCGGTGTCCCCACCAGTGCCCCCAACCAGTGTCTCACTGTCCCCGATGTCCCCACCATATTGTCCCACCACGGCCCCTCTCCCCAATGTCCCCACTGTCCCCACAACTGTCCCATTGTCCCCACCGCTGCCCCAGTGTGCTGTCCCATTGACCCCACGGTCCCCACCACTCTCCCCACTGTACCACTGTCCCACTACCGCCCTCACCACCGCCTTCACCACTGTCCCCACCACTACCGTCCCCACCAGTCCCACTGTCTCTACTGTCCCCGCCGCTGTCCCGCTGTCCCCTCACCACTGTCCCCACCACCACCGTCCCCACCACTGTCCCACTGTCCCCGCCACTGTCCCACTGTCCCCACACCACTGTCCCCACCACCACCGACCCCACCAGTGTCCCGGTGTCCCCACCACTGTCTCATTGTGCCGAGGAGCGAGAATCATTTGCCGGCGGCGAGGGGGGGGGTGAACCTGTAGTGGCCCCCCTTTTTTCATGATGGACGGGGGGGGAGGGGGAGGTTCGAACCGGCCCCGAGTTTTCGAAGGGGGGGGGGACGGGTTGGGAACCCCCAGTGATCCCCCCCAGTTTTCCGCCAGCAGCGGTAGAACACACGCTCTTTCATATCTCGATATCGTCCTGGTCGTGAATAGCAATACTTATTATCTCGCTAATCTCTCCTTTTCCTCCACAGCTCGCCAGCGTCGATGATCTGAACAGATATCTCGCTGTAGCCCCTGGTGGGCTGTGAAATACAAAAGCGTGCTCTGGCACACCAGTGCCAAAATCGGCAGGTCCAGTAGCACTTGCTGGACTCAAGGGCGCCCTCGAGCCACAACACCAGCAGAGGGGAGTTAGACATCGAGAGGACACAGGTCGGGTGGGCCAGGAAACTCGATACAACTACAACCTCCTCGGCTAAGGCGAGGGCTATGCACCATAAGTCACACCAGCCCTCTTGGCGGGAGTGTTCTACCGAGCTCGTTCTGCTAACCCCCCTCTTCCTCTTCGGGGAGAGAGTTCTCCCCCCCTGCTCCTTCCCCTGATTGTGGAGGGGGAGGGCGGCGCGAGGGGTTGGAGCGTTCCAGGTGGCCTTTTGGAGCGCCCAATGTGGTTCAAGATAGCTTCCAACATGTCTTCAAGAGCCCTCAAGACCTCCTCAGGACGCCAAGGAAGTGTCCAACAAACCAAGACCATTCAAACCCGGGTGCTCTCCAATATTTTTTCACCGTCACGCTTGTTCGCGTCCGATGGGCAAGCCTCACGATAACTCCGTCCCCAAGAGCGCCCAATAGCGCCACGAGAGCGCCCCAAGAGGACCCCCAAAGAAAACTGTTCGGGGCTGAGCGCTGAAGGAGTGTGTCGCCCAGGCTGTTGGGACGCCAAGAAAGCTCCAAGACGGGCCAAGAGGGCCCTAAGAGGCCCCAAAGGCGGCCGAAGGAGGTCCCGAGTCGTCGAACGATCGGCCCAAGACGCCCAAAGTGACCGCCACACGGCCGAAGATGCCCCTATGACGCCCCAAGAGGCCTCCAAGATCCCCCCCTAGAAGCAAACCATGGATCTTCCTGAGGTGTTTGACAGAAGTTGGTAAGATGGCCCAAAAACGGCCCACGATGACACGGCTCCAAGAGGGACCCCGACGGGGGACCCAAATGAACATTTCGTGCTCTTGGCCCCGGGAGGCCCCCAGGAGGCCCCAAGAGGCCGCCAAGAGCTCCCGAGAGGCCCCAAAGAGGCCGCCAGGAAGCCCTAAGAGGTCCTCAAGAGGCTCCCAAACTGCCCCCCAGAGACCCCCGAGAGCGCCTTCAAGAGACCCCAAGAAGCATCCCTGAGGCACGGTGGCGGGCTGGGCGGAAGGCCATTAAATCCGCCGCCCCTGGTTGATTCATCGCAAGGGCACCTGGCGTGCTAGACCCTACTGGGTTTGCTTCGGTTTTTTTCTAAGAAACACTCTCCCCTGGACCTCAGGTCCGTGCCGCCGGCCTCCCGGAATAGGTGATTGCCGTGCCTCCTCATGGGCCGTCTCGCTAGGGACATCCTCAAAACATCGAGATCTTGGGGTCCACATGGCCCAGGATGGCCTCCAAGACGGCCCAAGATGGCACCGAGTCCGCCCAAGAAGCCTCCAAGATGGCCCAAGACTGCCCGAGAGGCCCCAACGAGGCGCTCCAGAGGCCTCCAAGAGGTCCCCCAGGAGGGCCCGAAAAGGCCAACATCATTGATGCCCCTGCGGTTTTGGAAGGGTTTTGGAAGGATTTTGGCGTGAGCGTCTTTTCAGCCTTCCGACGGCCCGAAATAGCCCAAGAGCCCCTAAAGATCGCCCCAGGATCGCCAAAGAGGCTTCCAAGATGGCCCCAGAACAGCCAAAGAGGCCTCCAAGACGCCCAGGATGGCCTCCAAGACGGCCCTGGGGCACCCCAAGAAGGCCCTTAGTAGGCCCAGAGAAGCTCCCAAGACCGCTTCCGACGGCGTCAGACGGACCAGGAATGCCTTAAGAGGGCCAAAGAGGCCCCCGAGAAGCCCCAAAAAGCCCGCAAGAGACCCAAGGAGGCTCCAAAGGCTCCCAGGAAGCTCCCAGAACCCCCAAGAAGGCCCCCAGAGGCTCCCAAGATGCCTCCTCCTCCTCCTCCTCCTTCTCATCCTCCTCATCCTCCGCCTCCTCCTCCTTCTCCTCCTCCTTGTCCTTATGACAAACTTCTCCCTATCGCACTCCGATGCCAGTTTTTAGGGCGCGCCGGGCGTTTCGCATGAGACACCCCCACCATGTATGACTCATAAGCTTGAAAAGTGGCAACGGTTTCACAGACGGAGGACGGGTCGTTTTCAAAATGAGGCTCTCGCCTTAGCGCCGCGCACATTGGTAAACATCTGCAAGAGCTTCATGGGTTGAGGGCAAATGGTTTTCAACATGTGGTTCTCGCCTTCGCGCCGCGAAGACTCATTTTACACGTGCAAGGGTGTCACTAATCTAGAGCGGTTCCTTTTCTAAATGTAGCTCTCGCCTTAGCGCAGCCAACATTCGTCTTAAACGTTGCAAGCGTCCCACGGACTCCCATGGTCAACGTACCAAAAGTGGTGTTTTGGACGGGCTCAGGATTATGAGGGTGCAACAGTTACGTTGGTTCGCGGTGCTGACGTGCCAAGAATGGCGCTCTGACACGATTCAGGATCGTCAAGGCGCAACAGTCGGGTTGATCCGCGGCGTTGGAATCCCGAGAAGATTGTTTGTTGGGAAAACACATGGTCCGATAGCTTGGCTGAACTCTTGCCACAACGCTCAGCCTCATGGGCGATTCCAGAAGGCACGGGACGGTGGTGATTCGCCGTAGGCCCAAGAGAGCCCCAAGAGGGGCCCAAGAGGGCATAAGACGGCCCCAAGAGGGCCCAAGACGGCCCCAAAAAGGCTCCAAAAGGCACACGTTCGATGTTCGGGCCCAGACAGGGGGGGCGGGGGGGTAATTTTCGCAGCCTCCGTTTCTATTCGATTGCCTTCAGCATGGCCCTGAGAGAACCCCCAAGGCCTCGAAGAGGGCTCCGACAGATCCCCGCCACACCTCCAGCCCCGCTCCGGACCCCGTCCACCCCCTCAAAAGTCTCCGAATAGCACCAAACAGGCCCCTAGAGATCCCTTTTCATTCTGGAGGTAGTGAGGATTCTCGGATGCTCCGTGAGGTCGTGGCCAGCCAGGGCGAAGCGCAAGATGGCGGGCGGCGGGACGCAGCCCTCGTGGATAGGCCCCGTGTGCGACACACCGATGCTGGAGTTCGTGAGGATGCCTGTGATGCAGCTGGAGTCGCACGGCGACAGTATTGCCTGGGCAGCCTTGTACATCGCCAGCACCATTGTACGGGTCATACACTAACGGCTCGCCTTGGCGTCGGTGTTACCACGGGAAGGCGCATCGGGTGCGCCGCCGTAGCCGCGCTATGCTCGCTGTAGAATGTCGGATGTCTGATCTTCTACACGGCGTCCCAATTGGTCACGCTGTCGTGCCCGATTGGGTACTCTGTGTTCAAGCGCCGCGCTCTGTATGCACCCCATCACCCACGTTGCCACCCTCCATGTCCGTGCAGGCCATTATGCCTGGCCCCAACGTTGGAGGACACCTCCGCGAGCGGCGATCCTACGTGCGCCCGCGAAGCTGGCCTCGCAAATGCCGCTGCAGCAATCCTCCACGAGAGCGGGCGACGACTTTCTCATCGGCCATGGCCGCGGTCTGCGTGGCAGGGGGCGGACTGCTTCAGCATGGCTGCTTGAGCCACCTTGAACCAGAGCAGAACTGCCAAGAATCGGCGGCGAGGCCAGGTGGGGAAGTGAGAGGGGGGGAACTTCTCCAAGGCTCGGAAGTCCTCCGGCTTCTGAGAAGTTTCCTCAGCCTTCCCCGGAAACACAAAGCCCTTCTCAGAAGGCGCGAGGGCTCCAGAGAAGTCCCGCCGCCTTCTGAAGGAGGCCTCCTCCTTCTCACTTCCCCCCCCCGCTCGGCGCCGAAAGAAGCGCGTGGGCCCAGACATCTGCACAGTGGACGCTTTCAGCCAGCGGCGGTACCGATCGGGATCGCCGATGCCGAAGGGGGGCGCGTGCGGGAGAGTGTTTCTCTTGGGGTGGGAGCGCGGCGGGGGCAGGGCGCCGGTGTCGGGGCTGCCACGGAGGTGCTGGGGGTGCCCCGACGACTGCGGTGACCGACTGGGGGCGTGCGGGTGACACCTGCGGCCAGCAGGAAGTGGTGAGTGAACGGCAGAATTGGGGGGGTGGGGGGGGGCGCCTGGTGGGGATGACTGGAAGGGCCTGGGCGGCCTCAGGCCTGGGGAGGACTGAAGGGCGTGCAGGGTGGAGCTGCGGGATGCCCGAAGATTTTAAGAGTCCCATGGGGCTGGGGGCCCGTCTGCAAGGGGCTTAGGAGCTCGAGCCCAGAAGGGGCCCCGCTCTGCCTCAGAGGCCTGCTGGGTGAAGCCGCCCGGCCGTGAGGGCCTGTCTCCGCCCCGATCTCCGCCTGAAGCCCCCGACCCCAACATGTGGTTGACCCTTGTGACGCGTCCACTTTCAGGAGGGATGCCCAGCGGAAGGTCATCGTCTCCTCTCGGACTGTCGCGAGGCAATCACGCACATCGCAGCGCCAGTCTGCCACAGCGGACTCCACCTCCAGCAGCACCTTCATGTCAGGGCCCAAGGGGTCCAGCCACTTGACGTCGAGCACGCCCATCAGGGTGGGGTGGGCGCTCGCAAAGCAGACCTCGACAAAGGCCCCGCCGTGTCGCGCCTCCACACGGTCGGGAGCGTGCGCGAAGCACCTCCAGCGGTGGGCGGAAGCGCCACGGGCATCGAGGCTCCAAGCGTGCGCGGCACCATGCTGCCCGTCTTCGCTGTGGCTCACAGCCAGCAGCAGGCACCGCTCCAGCTTGACTTCAACGTAGGCGTACAGAGGGCTTGTGCAGGCGTGCTCCCCTGGAGCAACCACGCTGCGGATCCACCACTCGCCTGGGGCCTCCTGTCGGCGGCGAGCCTGGGGGGGAAGTGAAAAGGGCCGTGCCTTCTCAGAAGGCTCGAAATCCCTTGGCCTTCTTAAAAAAATCGGAACCTTCCCCGAAGACACGGAACAATTCTCAGATGTCAGGGGGGCTTCTGAGAAGCCCCCCCGCCTTCAAAGAAGGCCTCCTCGTTCTCACTTCCCGAGTAGGGGGTCGACTACAGAAGTTTACCCCAAAATTGATTTTCTCTTCGAATCTACGAACACAACGCACATTCGACAAGAAAACCAAGTTTGGGGTCAGCCAATTCTGTAGTCGATCCCCTATTCGAACTTCCCCCCCTCGCTCGCGTCGCCGATCCTGAGCACACAGGCGGATGTGGCCGTCCGCCTGCAGCATCACCACGATGGCGATGTCCTCCTGGCCAGCCGCCCCCAGCGTCGCGTGCGACACGTCGCAGCACAGGAGTGCGGCGGACGTCTCGAGGCAGCCCTCGGAGGAGCCTAGGGGAACAACAAACATGCATAAACATAAACTGTTGGCGGTCCTGGATCTGAGCTGGAGCCCCCTCCCTGGCGCGATCCGCGCGCCAGGGGCGGCGCCGGTGGCGCCGCCAGGGGGGCCCAGCGCAGTTCCAACAAATCCGCGCGGACCGCCAAAAGTTCATGTTTATGCCTTTGTTTCTCCTCCCGAGAGCCGGTGGCGGTGCCCCAGACGGAGACGAGGTGGCCCTCCTGCTCGTAGGTCACGAAGGTGCGCCCGTAGTCCCAGCGAGAAAAGAGCTCCAGCTCGCTGGCAGAGGCGACTGGGTCTTCGTCCACGTCTTGCTCGTGCGACACAGCGTATCTCAGCTCCAGCGTCTGCAGCTCAAAGGCCCGGACTACGCCTCCAACGAACCAGAACAGCAGCCCTGCGACGTGCTCCACGAACAAGCGACCCCCGTCGCCGTCGCCGGAGGCTGGGCCCGACGCCCGCCGCAGCAGCAGCCGGCTGCCGCCGGGCACCAACTCCCGGCGCTCCAGCGCGAGGCTGGGGGTCACGCCGACGACCTCGGAGGGAGACACGGGCACCACGTCGAGGAACTCTGCCGGCCGGAACGCGGCGGCTGGTGCAGACGCGCGGCCCCAGGCCTCGGCGCAGAGGGGCCGTGCGCGCATCTCTGCGAGGTCGCCGTAGAAGAGCACCGAATGGCCCCCCTGGACCAGGCGGTCCGTGACGACCGCGGCAAGGTCGGGGTCACCCGCCCACAGCTCCCGTGCGGGCAGCTCCTCCCAGCTCAGTGACAGCGCGCCGCTGCGGGCCCGACCGTGGAGCCCGCGCAGCTGCATGTACAGCCGGCGCCAGCAGCCCTCCCCGGCCTCCAGCCCGAGGTACCGCACGTACTGCAGGCACGCCATCCCGAAGTTCGGCTACACGCAGGAGTGACCCTATGCCCTAGGCAAGCTTGGGGGGAGGGGCAAATCCAAGCGCGCAAGCCAACGCTGGTGGGACTCCTGCGAGCCCGTACTGGAGTACTGGAGGTCACTCGGGTGAAGGGTCACCCCTGCGCGTAGCCGAGAAGTGCTCAGAGCACCACCCCGCCCAGTCCGCGTCCGCCGCGGCCTCAGCCCCGGCGTGGCTCGAGCCCGCCAGCGAGGCTAGCGACCCCGGCCGCAGCCACTGCGCCAGCGCGCCCCGCGCGACCTGGAGCACAGCCGCCGCTGGGCATCGGCGCCGCTCCATCGCGGCCGCCGGCCGAGCGGCCAGCGAGGGGGAGCGACGAGCCCGCAGCGAGGCTCCTGCTCAGAGCGGAGGAGGGGCACGGCAGGTTCAAGTTGCGAAGACGTCGACGCTGGTCACCAACACAACGGGGATCGCGCAGCCTTGAACGGTCGCAACTTCCCGAGAGCGAAGATCGATCGATGCTGGCCGATACCAGGTCGCTGGTGGCGTTCAACTTTGAAGGCCCGTGCCGGGGTGGTCGCCGCAACGCGCCTCGAACCAGCTTCCGTGGAGCATGGGGACACGGGGACAGCAGAAAGAGGAGTCAAGGCAGATCAAAGCGCCTGAGCCACAAGGAGTAAGGCAGAGCAGAGCGCATATTTGACGAGACCGGACAATCGAGAGAGACCGAGCAGCGGTTCAGAACCACGGAGAGGGGAGGAGGAGGAGGAGGAGGAGGGAGGAGGAGAGGAGGAGGAGGAGAGGAGGAGGGAGGAGGAGGAGGAGGAGGAGGGAGGAGAGGAGGGAGGAGGAGGAGGAGGAGGAGAGGAGGAGGAGGAGAAGGAGGAGGAGAAGGAGGAGGAGGAGGAGGAAGAGGAGGAGGAGGAGGAGGAGGAGGAGAGGCAGAGACGGGAGGAGGAGGAGGAGGAGGAGGAGGAGGAGGAGGAGGAAGAGAAGGATAGGAAGGATAAGGAGGAGGAGGAGAAGGAGGAGGAGGACGAGGCAACGAGTGGAGCGCATGCTCTCGGTCCACGTCGGTTTAAGAAGCTGCTTCCCTGAAGCTCCGCATCTTGCCTGTTGCCTTTACAGAGCAGCACGAGAGGGGGCTAGTGCGCCGAACCCGTCCAGGAGCTGGTACGCACAATGAGACGACACGCTCGCACGGACACGCGATGTGATGGATTCGCGTCTACGCTTGGCTATGCAAGCGCCATCGAGATGCGGATGAGCAGTTGGGAACCGTGGCTTCGATAGCTGATGATCGCAGACCACAACTCACGGAACAAACATGGACTGCATGAACAATAAGGGAAGCTCTCGGAAAGTGCCTGGGGCCACGCTGCTCCATCTCGCGGAGGAGGTGCACAGCCTGCTGTCGCTTCGCCCCTGGCCGCTCTCGTCCACTGAACCCTCCCCCACCACTCTCTCTCTCCCTCTCATTTGTTGATTGCCCCCCCCTCTCTCTTCCTGTCGCTACAAGGTTCTATGTTGGCAAATGGCCAACACTCGCCATGTCTGACTTGCTGGCCCACTTTCTCCCGAAACAATCATGAAGTCGGACATTAGCTTCTGCAATGAAGAAGGAGCACGGAAGAGCAAACTCTATCCAAACGGCGACATGCACACCTCAAGGCTTCCAAACAAACTTACACCGCTACACACACACACAAAAAAAAACGAAGACTCTGAATGTGATGTCTGAGGCTGGCATCAAATGCTGAATCGCTGCCCGCGCTGTCCGAAATCGCGCGAACATCATCACAGCGCTGCCTAAAGCAGCCAAACCATCACATCCCGGCATCGCTGCATCACTAATCTTCGCACCCTCATGACACCATCAAACCGACACATCGCCACCACGCCGCACAATTGATAGGAGCAACTACTACCGCAACAGCAAGGCGGCATGCGCTGAAGCACCGCGTCGGCGCACCAGAATGACAGCCACACCATGTGCCATCACACAAAGACTCAAAGCGAAAGATGGAGCTAATGGGTCAACCAATCTGGCTTGATACGGTCCCAACTTGGACCAAACGTAATCCAACAAGCCTCTGAAGGACACAACATAGCCCAACCAGGATAGGTCAATATGGCCAGCGGAATGCATCTTAAAGGACCCCAAGGCCGCCCCAAGACGGCACCAACTGGTCACTGGGCCTCCCAAGGATACCACCGAGAGGACTGAACCATTCGAACACACACGTTCGCTTTCCAACGGCTTGGGCCTTCTTGCGGTTCGCTTCCGACGGGATTTCGAGGACACTGGATGGCTCCAAGATCGGACAAGAGAACACCAATATGGCCCCAGGACGGCCCCAATGCGGCCCCGAAAACGATTTTTCTGGCTCAGACAAGGGCTGGCAAATTGAAACGGAACCTCGTTTGCGTGATAGCCTCCAGCATGGCCCAAGAGAGCCAGCGCACCATCTGTACAACAACAACCGTATAATATAGCGTTGTCCGTTGGAGAAAGTATATGAAGATGGGCACGCAACAACCATTACAACGGCGCCGGCACGTTCAGACACAAGCTAGACACAAGCAGGCCGATGGGGGCCGCCGCCCATAATCGCGGTCTCGAGAAGGCAACGACAAAAATACATTTGAACAAAAGCCGCACGGCCCGACGACGTCACTGCCCGCTGCCGCGCCCTTTGGGGCGGAGGCGGGGGAAGGACGAGGGCGAGGGGGGGAGATCCCTCGCGAAAGGCACGGGCTGCGCATGCGAGAACGTCAACGCCACCAGGGCCAGTGTCACCATGGGACCTTGGAACCGGAGAGAGCTGGGGCGGCCGCTGTGGACGCCGGACACACAGCCGGCAAAGGGCACCATGCCGGCCGTTGCCCGGCCAGGAGAGTTACAGACGCCGCCGCCAGATGGGTCGCCGCAAGGTCCGCCGCCGGGGCCGCCAGGGAAGCCCCACGCCGTCACACCGCCGCCACAGCAACGGCCATGTGCCCCCGCGCGTCGCCCGCGCCAGACGCCGCGGACGGAGGATGGAGAGCAAGAAGAATCTCGAGGCCAGGGCAGCAGTCCGCGACCTGCAGCTGCGTCCGGCGCTCGAGCGAAGGCCAGGTGAAAGGAATCCAGGACGAAGATGACATCGCGCGAAGAATCTAGAATCTCTGAGATCTGGCGGCTCTGAGGATGTCTCGGGCGCCGTGGCCTTTGCAGAACTGGGCCATTCACTGGTCCGAGGGGTCCCGAGCACGGCGCCAGCCTTATAGCCCTGTAGCCCTATAGCCCTATACCCCTATAGCCCTATAGCGCTATAGCCCTATAGCCCTATAGCGCTATAGCCCTATAGCCCTAATAGCCCTATGGACCTATAGCCCCATAGCCGCATAGCCCCATAGCCATATAGGCCTATAGCCCTATAGCCCAATCGCCCTATAGCCCTTATAACTATATTGCCCAATAGCCTTATAGCCTGATAGCCTTAAAGCCCTATAGCCCTATCGCCCGATAGCTCTATATGCCTATAGCCCTATAGCCCTATAGCCCTATAGCCCTATGGTCCTATAGCCCTATAGCCCTACAACCTTAAACATATTATGATTGGAGCTTTTCTCCGGTATCATTTGCCTTCGGGCAGCCTGCTGGAGACGAGCCTACTTCGAACAGCATGGGAAATGCAAAAAAAACGAAACAACCGAATTCGTAGGAAGCGGAACTTAGCGGTATATTTGCACACGTTCTAACCCTGTGGCCAAGACAAACGAGCTGCGAAGCATGGGGAGGAACAAAAAAAAAGCTCACAGTCACTGCCCGCAAGCCTGCAGGCAACACACGGGGCCGTGGCGTTTCTAAACCGTCCATAAATGCACCAGGCATAAGACAAGGTTTCGAACACGAGGCCAGGACCGACGGCGGAACGTGCGGAGAGGCCCTCAAGCAGTCCACCTTAACACAACCAACTTGGGCATTGGTTATACTCGTGCTAATCTTTACATGGCTGCGCCTGGCAGCTACTTGAATATCAACCTGATCTATGGTGTGCAACATGCTCTCTACCTTTTTCTGCAGTGGGACTTCGTACATGGGGATGTGTGGGATTCCAGACAGGGCCCTGAGGTTATCACTCAGACTTTGGGGGACATAGTTTTTTCCACCAAAGCTGAAACTCCCATGCGGCGCAACATCCGGGGTCATCTCCGAACTCATACAGGTCCTCCCGAGCAGCATGGACTGCAGGTCGTTAAGAGTCGGCACGAATCATTGGGGCACGACTGAGGGGGGGGGAGGATTAGGATGATGATGATGAGGAGGAGGAGGAGCAGGAGGAGGAGGAGGGGGAGGAGGAGGAGGAGGAGGAGAAGGAGGAGGAGGAGGAGGGGAGGGGGAGGGGGAGGGGAGGAGGGGAAGAGGGGGAGGAGGAGGAGGAGGAGGAGGAGGCGGAGGAGGAGATGGAGGAGGAGGAGGAGGAGGAGGACAAGGAGAAAGAGGAGGAGGAGGAGGACCAGTGCAAACCCAAGACTCATCGACGATGTTGGAATAAACACTTCCTCCAAGCTTCTTCTGTACAGGCCCCTGCAGGGGTCCATTTCCGCGGAGGGAACTGTCTCGTAGGGGGACAACCGTTTGAAGACCCTGAAGCACGCCAAGACACCATTCTCGAGACCGCAACGCCGCGGATCTCAACCTGACTGTTGCGTTATGACGGTCCTGAATTGTGCCTGCATGCCATTCCTGGGACATCATCACTGCAAGCCAACGTAACTGTTGCACCCTCACAATCCTGAGCCCTGCCAAAACACCGTTTCTGGTACGCTGACCATGGGAACCCGTGAAATTCTTGCATGTGTTGAAAAAGACTGCGCGCGGCGTTAATGGGACAACGACATGTTTGAAAACGCCATGCCCTCATTCCGTGCAACTCGTTCTTTTTGTTAAAGGAATACGCGCGGCGCTAAGGCGAGCTGCACTTCTTGAAAACGAGCCACCCTCAATATTTGAAGCTCTTGCAACTATTGTCCATGAGTCTGCGCGGCGCTAAAGCGAGAATCACATGTTGAAAACCGCCCGCACACTCAATCCGTGAAACTCCTGCAAATTCTGAAAACGAATGCACGCGGCGCTAAGGCGAGAGCCACATTTTGAAAGCGATCCTCCATCCGTGAAACTGTTCAAGCTTTAGGGTGATAAGCTGTTAGGGAATCTTAAGCGAAAGGCTTGGCCCACCCTTTCGACAGGCCTCAGGGTGTGGCAGGGAAGAGTTATTGATGAGGAAAATGAATGGAGGAGGAAGAACAAGAGGAGGCTGCTAATTTTTGCACCCAATCGCCTCTTCCCAGTGTCGGCCCTTCTCGCACGCACTTATGGTGGCGTTAAGCACGACAACGTCCTCCACACCCGCCCAGGGGGGGGGCACACAGGGGAAGGGAGGCAGACATGGGACGCGAGGCAAGGACAGACAGACAGGCGAATGAGTAAGGATCGTGACGTCGGCGGCATGGGCACTGTTGCGCCGAGCGCCGGGGAAGGAGGGGAGGGCGGGACGGGACAGCAGGGATGGGGAGGAGACCAAACCCAGCTGCCCGCACCACCCGAGAAGGCAAGGGAGGCAGCGGGGAGGAGCTCAAGCTACACGACGAGGCGATGGAGCGGGGAGGGAGGGGAAGGGAGGGGGAAGGGAAGGGAGGGGGAATGGAAGGGGAGGGGAGGGAGAGGGGTATGCATTCCAGGGGAGGGGATGGGGAAGAGAGAGATGAGGGACGGCGGGGGGGAGACCCAGAGGGACGGAGGGACAAACAGCAGGAGCGCGAAAGGGAGAACGCCAACTTTCCCCCGGCTGGCCACACAACCACGGGCCAGGTCTGTAACCAAGAAGCGGCCCGCCCAAGAAGCCTGCAGGGGCGCTCCGGGAATGCTGCGAGGGGTGTCTGGAGCGGGCCGTCCGTTTGCATTTTGCATCCTGGGGCTGCTTGAGCCTCTGACTGCCCCTCTAGACTATCCGACATCGTGGTTGTCCCGTGACTCGGACCCCTGCAGGTCCAGTCGTCCCCGTCCCGAGAGCCCGTTGTTGATACCACCCTGGGCTGCTGTCTGATGGCCAGGGCCCACAGCCAGCCCCCGGAGGCCCACACTGCAACTGAGAATCTGGCTAACAAGTCGCGCATGGAGCCCAAGCCCCGGATCGAGTGAGGGCCGCTGGCCCCGAAGCTGGGCGGAAATGCCTGGTGTGGAGAGGCTGTACCGTCCGGTCCCGAGGGTCCCTCCTTCTCATCCCCCGAGGCACGATGTCATGATGAGTTCAATATGGGGTCCCCCGAAGACCAGGCCCTTTCCCCAGGGCTGGCTCTTCATCCAGAATCGTTTCCTGACTTTCACGGGGCCCGACGATAGCTCCCAGAGGCCGAATGGGGCGAGAAACCTTCATATTTTACTTTTCGTTGCCGGTGCGTTGGGGGTCTGGGGGTCAACGATGGGGGGGGGATTGGCTTAGGGGGGCACAAAATCGTCGACCTGGAAATTTGCAATACATAACCCCCCGATTGCGAATCCCAACGGTCCTGAGCTGGATGGGCTGCCGAGCCCCATCGGCGATCAATGGGCGATTGGGGGTCGAAGCATCCCAGCCCTGAGCCCATCCACCCCTAACGTTGCCCCCGAATTTTTGTCATAAATCCACTCTCTGGCGTCTGTTCGGGACCGGGCACCTCCGGAACGCCCTCGGCGAGGCGCAGCCGCTGGAAGGCATCTCGAGGCTGGAAATCGCCGACAACCTACGAAGACGTCCGCAAACCTTGTGGCAACTCATTGCAGCCTCCCATGTCATCGGGATGGCTCTTGCGAGTCGACGCAAACCGATGCCAGTCGACGCTGATCGACCCTAATCCGCGCCTCCTTATTGATTCTCTGGCGCTAGCGCACGCGGATGGACTCTGAAGATGGAGTTGCGAGGGCCTACGAGGCTCCTGTGAATTGCTACCGAACCCCACCCCGATAGCCAGTTTCCAACGACCCGCCCCCCACACCTAGTCACGTCACGGTTCGCGCTGGCACCGTGCGGAATTACTTAGCAATTCCTGAGCGTTCCCAAACGGCGCCGGCGCGTACCGTGACGCCACTGGCCCCCTCCTCACCCCCGCCCGGTCACGCTCGTTATCACCAGGGGATAAAAAAAGATCTATTGCTACCGAAGCCCCCTCACGTCGTCGTCGTCGTCGTCGTCGTCGTCGTCGTCGTTGTCCTCCTCCTCCTCCTCCTCCTCCTCCTCCTCCTCCTCCTCCTCCTCCTCCTCGTCCTCGTCCTCGTCCTCGTCCTCGTCCTCGTCCTGGTCGTGGTCGTGGTCGCCGTCACTGACCCTCCCTTGTCCACACCTTTCGACCAGCAGGTGGCTGATTCAGTGATGACCTGGAAAGGCAAAACGCTGCTTAAACACAAAACTTTCGGAGCTGAGAGCGGATTTCATGTCTCGGCGCTGGACCCCGCCCCTGGCGGCGCCTCCGGCGCCGCCCCTGGCGCGCTCCGCACGCGTGGGAGGGGGCCCCAGCGCAGATCCAAAACGTCTGCGCGGAGCTCCGACAGCCCATGCGCACGCCGATTTCTGCCCCTCGAGGGGATCACCAACTCGGCCGACTGCTGGTCGGAAGGTGTGGAAGGTGGAGGCCAGGGGTGGCTTGTGAGAGATTTGACCGTTCGTTTTCGGAAAACCGATTTTGATTCCCTGTAGTGGATTATGGCGCATTTTGTGGTGACAGTCTGAGGGCTGCAGCTGCAGTGCAGCTCTCGAAAATTAGGGAGAACCATCGGCCGTCGGGATGCATTTCTCTAGATGATAACGGTTTCCGCGAACGTAACGAAAGGATAAGGCGAATTGCGCCGCTGACGTTGCCCCTGACCTCCCCCCGCAGCCCCCTCCAGCGCCAGCCTGCGCTCTGGCAGGCGCATGTCCTCCAGGAGGCCGAGGGCCTGCATGCTTCGTGGGGATGGGCCCTCGCTCCTCGGCCTGGGACCCTGGAGTATACCATGTGGGCGACGAAGAGGAGCGGGTCCTCCTCCTCCTCCTGCTCCTCCTGCTCCTCCTCCTCCTCCTCCTCCTCCTCCTCCTCCTCCTCCTCCTCCTCCTCCTCCTCTTACGCGAGATGGCATAGCGACCTTACGTCGCGGCTTCAGCGGGCCGCCAGCGCGGCACGCTGCACTGGAAGCAAAGGTGCTTACACGCGCGACCTTCCGCGGGCACCTCGCGACGCACGAATGTCGGCGCAGTCGAACCCATGTTTCGGCGTCGCCCATATTAGACCTGCTCTAGAACAGGAGATGTACCGTAGGCGGATCTACCCTGCCTCCGGCCGTGTACTGCGCCGGGCGCAACGGCCGCGCTGTCTATAGACGCATCACCCCCAGGTGTGACTACATAGGTTACGACACCCAACAAGTCTACAGACGCTTGTGGCTAGAAAGTGAGGGCGGTCTTTGACATAGGCGGCCCCAGAGATTGTTCTCCTAGAAGCAAGTCGACTTTGCCATCCAACTTCGATCCTCGCTCCTCGCTGCTCGATCCTCGCTTCGAGACGTGCTCGCGTCGTGAAAAAATCGCGACGGGAGGTTTTGCCAATTGCTGGCCTTCGAGGGCCCTCGCCTGGTCTCCGGACCGTCAAAAACAAACCCGGATCCAAAACTGGCCTTGGGGAATGGATCAGGGCTCCCGGGGACCCCGCATCCAAAAAATCGAAGCATCGCATGTCTGGGCTCGTCGATCTTGTCAAGAACCCGTCGAGGAGCCGAGGAATGTCGGCATCAACTGGATGGGGTCCGAGGAACCCTGTCGAGAAGGGAGAGGTACGGGCAAAGCGGGCAAAGCCACTCAAAATCTGTCCACGGACACCTCCCGGGGTCCATCTGGTGCAAGTGTTCACCCCGGATTCGTCGTTGACGGCCCTGGGGGCCAGAAACGGCCACCCGAGGCCGAAAAATGCAAGAACAAAAATCATGTTCCGAACCGAGCTCCTCGAACCTCTTCCCATTCCTGCTGGCCTGAACCAATGGCAACAATAGGGAGGGACAAGCTCAAGGGAGAGACATCGACATGGAGCCGGCGATACATTGCCGATAGATCGGCAACAGGCGAACACGGACGGTCCTCAGCGGGGCGGGATATCGGGCCCCCATCGGCGATGAACGGGCGATTAGGGGTCGATCCATCCCCTCTGAGCCTACCGTCCCCATCGTTGCCCCTGGGAAGATTGGTCTCTCTCTCTCTCTCTCTCGCTCTTTCTATCCCTTCATCCTGGATTCACATTTGACAGCCCCGGGACCCGAGGGCGGACCACGTGCCGAAAACGAGGAGGAATGCCGAGCTTGGAGAAGTCGGATCTTGGGAGATCGTTGGGTAGAGGGATGCCCCTGTTACGGCGAGATCTGGGAGTCGCATTTTTGTTCGCATCTGGCATTTCCGCTTGGACTCGAGCCCCGAGGACTTCATTGATCGACTCGGGATGAGAAGTGCCCCAGGAAGCTGGCGTCCAGGGCTCTGTCGCGATGTCGCACGCTTTTGCATTTTTTGTCGACGTCGGATCTCACGCGCCACGACGACGTAGGCGCTGGTTCATAGTACCGAGCGGATCGCTCAGCCTTGAGCGTCGCGGCTCTCCGACAGCGCGGATTGATAGATGTCGGCCGATTCTGGGCCACAGGCGACGTTCCACCTTGAGGCGACGTTCAACCTTGAACGCCCGCGCTGGGTTGACCGCCGCATCGACGCGGCCAGAACCTGCCCTGATGGGATCGGGAGATCGCCCCCCCCCGTCCCCGATGCACCAGCGATGCCCTGGGGTCGTCGGGATGGCTGCGGGTCGGGCTCCATGAGGCGCCGCGCCGCTGACACTGCTGCAGTTTTCGCTCGGAAGCTCCCCCCCCCTCACTCCGAATCCCCCGCTCCACCCCGGACCCCCCCCCGCCCGGCCCGCGGGAGAGCGGAGGGCGGCGGGCGGCGGCGGCGGGCACGGCCGCGCCGCCTCGGCCCAGAGCTTGCGCCTGCTGGGCGCGGCCAGCCGCGCAGGGCGCAGGCTACCGTCGGCGGCGGCGGCGGCGACGGCGACGACGACGACGACGACGACGACGAGGACGACGACGACGACGACGACGACGACGGCGGCGGCGGCGGCGACGACGACAACGACGACGACGACGACAACGATACGGCGGCGGCGGCAGGGACGGCGGCGGCGGCGGCCCCTCGACTCTTGCGAGGAGGCGCTCCGCCCGATGCGGGCGCGGGAGGTGGCAATCTACAAAGTGGGCAGGCCGTCGGGGCAGCCTGGCCGGGACAGCGAGACTGCTCCCAGGATCGCCAGGCCAGCTCGCCCAGGCTCAGGTCGTCAGCGCAAAGAGCCCTCAGGTCTGACGTTGCCAATAAAATGCAGCATCGCAAGCAATCACCACCAGAGCCCCCCTGGATCCTACATTTCTGCGTCATTTTTCGACTGGGATCGAGTCGGCTTCACGTGTCCACCCCCAGAGGCTTCGAATCCACGTCCGCTGCCGTGCGCCGAGCTTCCGCAGACTCCTGCTGGCGGGCCCCGCCGCCGCGCTCCCACGGTCCTTGCACTGGCTTCCGTCGACAGGGAGATCTTCTGAGGCGTGGAACACCCCGCGTTGGAGGCGGCTGGGGGATCTGAACTGGATGGATCTCGAAAGAATCTGACAAGAAGGGGGGGAAGGGGCAAATGCGGTCAAACTCGGTCCACGGACAAATCCCAGGGTCCATCTGGTGCAATGTTTCACGCCAGATCCGTCTTTGACGGCCCCGAGGCCTGCCAAAGGCCCCCTGGAACCGAAGGATGCAGAAAAACTTGCTCGAGCCCCAAGCCTCGACCCCCCCCCCCTTCCTTCTGCTCGCCGGAGCCACGTGCTCGGCGCTGGGACACCTCACCCGCAGCCAGCTCCAAGCCCCGCGTGGCTTCCAAACCCCAATCAGCCAGTAGGTGGCGACATCCGAACCCTGCCCCCACCAACCATCGATTATCCTGAATTCATGGGAGGAGGGGCTAGGGTTCGGATTCCGCCACGTGTTCGACGAAGTCCGAACCCTACCCCCGCCGCCCATCGACTTGCCCGAGTCATGGATCGGCGAGGGTCGGGCTCGGAGTTCGCAGCCGAGCCCGCTGGCTCACAATGCAGTAAGTTCACCACATCGTTCGGGGGTCCCCGACCCGACGGCGAGCGGTCAGCAGGGAGGAGGGGGCGGATGGCGCTGGCCATAAAGGAGGACCGAGGGGAATAAGACCGATTGCAGCCACTTCGGACTGTTCAGGAACTACTTCGGTCGGATTACAACCACTGGAAACGGACTGATCGCAACCTGAGAGATTCATATACAAATCTGCCTGACACAAAAAAACACCATATTGCAACCGATCCAGAGCTTCTGCAGAGCTCTCAGCGAGGCCTCTGGAAAAGGCCTTAGCGAGGCCTCTGAGAGGCCTCCGACAGGCCTCAGTGAGGCCTCTGGCAGGCCTCAGCGAGGCCTCTGAGAGGCTTCGGAGAGGCCTTTTCAGAGGCTTCTCTGAGGCAGCCGTTTCAGAAGCTTCTCTGAAGCCGAGGCTTCTCTGAAGCCTTGTCAGAGGCTTCTCTGAAGCCTTTTCGGAAGCTTCTCTGGAGCCTTTTTCAGAAGCTTCTCTGAAGCCTTTTCGGATGCTTTTCTGAAGCCTTTTTCAAAGGCTTCTCTGAGAGGCTTCTCTGAGGCCTCTGGGAGGCCTCAGCGAAAAAAAATCAGAGGTTTCTCTGAAGCCTTTTTTTCAGAAGCTTCTTTGAAGGAAGCCTTTTTGGGAAGCTTCTCTGAGGCTTCTCTGAAGCCTTTTTTCAGAGGCTTCTCTGAGAGGCTTCTCTGAGGCCTCTGATAGGCTTCTCTGAGGCCTCTGATCGGCGTCTCTGAGGCCTTTGAGAAGCTTCTCTGATAGGCTTCTTTTAAGCTTCTGATAGGCTTCTTTGAGGCCTCCGAGAGGCTTCTCTGAGAGGCTTCTCTGAGGCCTCTTAGAGGCTTCTCTGAGAGGCTTCTCTGAAAGGCTTCGTGCCCAGATTGGGGGGGGGTCTTTGAGACTTCTGCGAAGCTTCTGCGAGGCTTGTGAAAGGCTTCTGGGAGGCTTCTGAGAAGCTTGCGAAAGGCTTCTGAGAGGTTTCTGAAAGGCTTCTGAGTCCAGCTCGGATCGCAACGGGCGTCACGATCCGGCCGGCCGCCACGGCGGCGCGCGGCGCTGAGTGCAAAAGGCGGCACATGCAGCCTCGCCTCGTCGTGTCCTGGCCCGCCGACTCCCGCTGGCTGAGCTGAGCCCTGCTACTTACTCCCAGACCGCCTGGCGTCGTGACAACATCTGTTTTTGTTCCGGGCTCCGGGGGCCCTCGCCGGGCCCAGGGGCCGTCCAAAAGTGACTCAGTATGCAATGCTGGTCTACTGTAGGTTCATGCCGCGTTGGCACGCCGGCGACGTTGGCAAAGGCGTTCAAGGCTGCATTCTGCGACGCGGAAGCACCGAGGGACACGGTGGGGCCACTGTACCCGACGAAATTCAACCTTGAACGATCGGGGCCGTGATCGATTCAAGGTTGAACGATCGACGCGGTGCCAAAAGCCTTACGAGTGCCGACGCCGCACGAACCTACCGTAGGGAAATTCGTGCAGACCTCTGGGGGTCGACGTTTCGGAAAAGTACTGACGTTGGGGGTCTGGGCCGCCGCGTCTACCCGCCTTGCCGCCATCCTGTCCTCCTCCTTTTCCTCCTCCTCCTCCTCCTCCTGCTCCTGCTCCTCCTGCTCCTGCCCTCCTGCCCTCCTGCTCCTCCTCCTCCCTCCCCTCCGCCGTCTCCCTTCCTCCTCCTCCCTACTCCTCCTCCTCCTCCTCCTCCTCCTCCTCCTCCTCCTCCTCCTCCTCCTCCTCCTCCCCCTCCTGAGATGCAATTTGCTTCACACCAGGCGTTTTCGCTCAGTTCGGTTTCAATCGTATACGAAGCACATAGGAATCGTAAACGGATCATGGCCACGTTCGAGCTCAAGTACATGTGTTTAGCTGAGATCATGATCGGCCGTCGGTGATCGGACCGATCGCACCTGCTTTTTCAGACTCACATTGGGCGGCTTAAGGGAGCTCAGTGCACCAAGAAACGCTCTTATGATCTCTTCCTTAATCGAAACCTCATTGAAACAACCCCAAAACATCGCAACCATTTCGGACTGATCGCAACTGCTTGCGATCGGTCCGAATTGGTCGACGATCGGTCTGAAGTGGTTGCGATCGGTCGTGCTCGCGGGGGACAGAAGGATACGGATACCGCCTACTCCGGCTGGACCTCCCAGAATGCGCTCTGATATGCGTATATATATATATATATACACAAGAAAATATCGTCGGAGACCTGGGGAAGGGAGCCTCGGGAGGGCTGGCTTTCCCCCGCGAGCCCGATGCGGGCGACGGCCGCGGGCGCGGCCTCGAAGCGACTGCGCAAGAGACGAGGGCGGAGCCCCCGACAGAGCAGAGGGGCAGGCGGAAGGTGCGGCCTGGATTCCGGGGCACGATCCTACGGATACGCGGTCGCACGGATACGTTCCGCGCGGGGCATCTGCGAAAAAACGCCCCGTATCCGCGGAGTCGCGGCCCAGGGGCCCGGCACGCGAGGCCGCGGATACGATGTGTTTCGCCCACGAGACAAGCGACACGACAAACACACACATGAGCTTTGAGCACCCTGGCACGACGTGCCTCAATCCCAGACCCCCCACGCCAGGCTCTTCTCATAGCATGGAGCCCCAAAGGTCTGGACCCCTTCTCCAGGACCGGCTACTCATCCTCAAATAGTGTTTCGACGGCCCTGGGGTCTGGTAAGGGCCCCTGGGGGCCAAGAACGACAAAAAAACGTCCGCCGTGACTTCTTCGTGACCCGAGGCACGAGAGCCCAGAATCGAATCGAAAATGAATCGGATCGGCAATCGAAAATGAACCGGATCGGCGGACATCGGCAGCCGAGTCGGGAGAAGTCGAATCGGCGGAAATCGGCAGGCCAACAGAACCCCCCTCGCGAAATCGGAGCCCCAATCTCGGGATCCGAAGTCGAATCGAATCGGAATTGGAAGCCATCGGCGTCGAGTCGAATCGAACCCGGGGAAACCAATAGGTACTGATAGCGCTACTCCCGGGACCTCTCCCGGGGTGCGTTCCGACGAAAAGTTCGAGGCGAATCTAGTGGTGGCGACGAAGGCCTCGCAGGAGGCTCAAAAGAGGAAAAACGAGAGAAGGGTAGCTGTATGGGTATCTTTTCTTCCGTCTCCGAGAATCGGAGGAATCGGAACGAGCCCTGCGCGGGGTCTGGGATTTGGAGCGCCTCTCCACCTGCAGGCCCGCGACGACGACAGCGGCCGCGCCTCCGGGAAGGCCGCGGATAGGGGCGCCACGGACAGGGGCGCCGTGCGCGCAAGGGGGGGGGGGCGCCTCTCGCACGATGCCACGGCCGCCGCGTAAGACACCGCGTCGGGGTGGCAGGAGAGCGAGCGCAGGCGCGCCTGCAGAGCGCATCGAAGAATCGGATCGGCGATGGAAGTGGATCGGATCGGCGGATAGATCGGCAGGTCAAGGAGGACTCCACTGGGAAACCGTGACTCGAAATCGAATCGGAATCGGAATCTATCGACATCGGATCGTATCGAGTCGGAGGAACCAGAATGAGCCCTTCCTAAATGGACTCGAATCGGGATCGGAATCGGAATCGGAATCGGATCGAACCGAAGCGAAGGAATCGAAGTGAGCCCTGGCCTGCGACGGCGGGGGCCGCGTTGGCCCAAGACTCCCGCAAGAGGGTTCTTGCCAGCGCTCGGGCGTCCATTCCCTGTGCGTCTGCTGTCTTCTCAACCACACCCAGTTGAAAAAAGGTTCAGGTTGTTGTTGCTCGGGGCTCTTGGGGGCACCCAGCGGCCACGGGGGGTCCCAGGGGCTCCGGCTCTCGGAGGCACATCCGCATCAGTGAACTCCACACGAGGAGCCGGCCGCATCGTGAGCCGTCTCACGAGGGCAGACGGGCGATCAGACCAGGCAGCTGAAAGCGTGCGGTAGCGACGAGAGGAGACTCCCAGCCGCGCGTCAAAATGTTGAGCAGAGGATCCGACAATCCCCGATCTCCGAGCGTTCAGCGCTGACAGAAAAGGCATCACAGCACGCAGCACGCAGCAGTCAACATCAGGAGGTGCAGGGAGGAGGAGAATGAGAAGTGAAAACCAAGATGGGCGCCCTGAGGGCTCACTGGAGCTGGTCATTCTGAAACCAATGCAATCAGTAACCAGTTGTTTCAAACGAGAACATTTACAGTAGATGTCATCCAGATCAGTAGCCGCATGCTGAGATCATCCAGAAGACATCCTCCAGGTTCAATATGAAATCTCGAGGAAGTGTTGATGGAGTTCGTGAGGAGGCGGAAGGGGGGCAACGGCCATGCACATCGAGATGTGCTTCGCCACCTCTTGCATGTTCGCGCAGAAAGTGTCAATATGGTTTGGTGAGACCTCGGCACACGAGCGACGAACACGCCTAAGCAGAATCCCTTTCGCATCTTCGAAATGGTCGTGCTTACGAGCGGGACGATCTCGTTTAGTCTGAAGAGGTTTTCCCTGGACCTCGAGGTTCGGCGACTGCGAACGATACCAATCGATAGAACTTCGGATATTCGAAAGGAAAGACACTTGGTTCCACCCTCGATGCCAACGATAAGGGATGTCCTCCAGATCCTCTCAAACACCCTGGCGTTGCGCAAGAGATCGTTCAACCACATGAGAGCGGGGTGCAAAACGGGTGCATGCAGCTTTCGCGGGCGCATGGATGTCGAGGAATTCAACACCCAGGCCAACCGCACACAACTGTGTGGCAGGCTCCTAGGAGATGGCGTGCCTAGGGCCCACAATGAGCAACATCGCTCCTTCTTTGAAGCAGTGTACCCAGTTCACCACTGGCGGGGCACATCTGGAGACGAAACTATAAAAGTGACACGCACATGGCGCGAAAAAGGACGGCTAAAAGCGCCAGACTGAGCCCGAGGGCACGGGTCAACCGAATCCTGTTACGAAATTTGGGGGCACTGAACCCCAGACGTGGAAGAAGCCATCAGGACCGATCGGAATACCGAGATTCACCGCCCAAGAGACAACCACGAACTTGTCCGCTGGGTCCCCAAAGCTTTCCAACACTACGATCTGACACTTGGCGAAATCCAATTGCAAGTTCGGAACGTCATCGGACATCTGGAGCCCTGAAAGAATAGGCCCCAAGTCCTGGAGGGTGTTCGCGAGACCGACTCGAGCACGCGCAGAAGCCACTCCGATGCGAGCGACGGGAAAGCAGCAGAGAAGTCGGTGAGGAAGGGGGACGCGTTTGGTACCACTTCCATGTGCTGGCAGAGCCCCCAAGCTTCGGTTCACACGATGTGAGTTGTCATATCCTTTCCTCGCAAGCAAGTTTTATCGTTCTCAACAAGAGAATATTACCCGTCATCGTAATTGTGAACGCGTTCGCAATCAATGTAATGCCTGTGCTGCTCATGCTGAAGGGGGCGAGTAGAGGAAGGGTGACGGAAGAGCTCGATCCCATCTGCTGGGTCCTTGGGGTCCGTGCCCTTTCGGGAGAAAGACCAGCAGGCTCTCCCGCATGGCATTCGGGAGCGAGGAGATCTGATCAGTGAAGAGGGTCGAAGAAACGTCACATCACATCCTAGCAGTTTCTGCACTGCTCCACGTGGAGCAAGGGATTCCGTCCGGGCCAGGCATACTGCTGGGCCTCTTGAGGATGGCTTTGAGGAGGAGGAGGAGGAGGAGGAGGAGGAGGAGGATGAGGAGGAGGAGGAGGAGGAGGAGGAGGAGCTCCCAGTCCATCGTGAGGGGCTCAGTCGATTTCCGGATGCGGGGCTCGATCTGGGCCAGGAGGTCCGTGCGAGCAACAGGCTTCTTGAAACCATCGCTCCAGTGCTTCCGAAGGGCCTCAGCAGAGGCCTGGATCGTCTCGATGGGTTGCCGTCGTCATCGCTGACGCCCATGAGAAGATGAAGAGTCCGCCGTCGAAAAACGCCGCCAGAGCTCCTTCCGTCGAGCACTGCGAGCAAGAAGAAAAACGTTTTTGCTCCTCCTCCACCGCCAGCTTCTTGATGTCTCCTTCTTCCTCCTCCTCAGGCATCTTGTTAGACAGCGCCTGAAGGTGCCGACGCAAGCCGTCAAAGTTGCGGCACACTTCCAGGTCCTGGCTGAAGTGTGCCCGAAGCCTCGGGTAGAACCGCGCTGCATGGTCCAGCCAGCGGCGCTGGCCAAAGCGAGCAGAGCGGAGTGCGGCAAGAGCATGATAATGCCGCTCCTGAGAATATTCCGCCTCACGGGAACTGATGGCGACGCGGGCGGTCACCATCGCCTCAAAGAAACAGTCTTCGGCATATTCAAGACCGCTCCCTGTGCGTTATTGAATTTCGTGAGTGTTTGTGTTGTTCTCGCCGACCGTCATGGTATGTTCGGGCTCCTTCTTGTCTCTTCTCTCGCCTCTTGCTCTGTCGCTTCGTGCCTGTCTTAGCTTCCGGTGCAGCCCGCCGCTCGCTTTGACCGGCATCCGCGGACTTCAAAGGCTTTGCTCTTCCTGGCGCTGGCCTCGCCGAGAAAACTCACACGTCCGAGCGACGCCAAGGCTCCGAGAGGACGCCCACGAGGCCCTGAGGAGGCAAAACTCAACAATGCTCACTGGGCTTGTCAAGGCGTTTAGCATGCTCGCATTGTCGGGATGCCGAAG